GAATGGGTAGAATGCATTCGACAGTCGCAGTTAACCTCCATCATTTGGATCCACACATCTGGGCATGCGGAGTAAGTGGTCACGAAAGAGCTGACCATCTGGCAGATAATGCAAACGGGGAGAAGCATGCATAGAGCTGATTTCATCAACGTTGTACGGACTAGATTGGGGCATATGTTGTATCTCTGACGCTAACTCGACTGCGAGTTGTTTGGCATGGTAAAGCACGTCTATGTCGTCTTCCAGTTAAAGTCAGGAGATACTATCATCATCTACTCACGGGATTAATCAGCAGAGATACTTTGGAGTGACTCTTCATTGCAGGACTGAGCTGCATGGAGATGATCAATGTGCAAAGACGTCGATTGTGATAATATAACATAACATACTGAGGTGCCAGCCGAAATTAGATTATTAAATGTTCGTCTGTTTTCCACACTGCAGGTAGAAAAATCGTCCAGACCCTCTGCTCAAAGAGGTCTATTTCCATATAGCCTGTAGCGAACGTCTAACCCTTCTATGTAGCGTTTTGAAACTGCGTTGTGAAACCACCAACTCTGTTATGTGCATCCTAAAAGATACGTTGGCCTTATTCCCAGGCCACATTGCAGGTCAGACAAATGACCTAATCCATTTCAGTTAACCCACTGACCTGCATTATAATGGTTAAAAATAGAGGTACTGAGAACACGGATGGAATTTCCAGTTGATTAATGACCAGGCTGTATATAATACGTCCATTGTATGATAAAGGATGTACGTTCACAACGTAGTATATGACTAGCAAATTTGAAACAAAAGTTCTGAACTAAAGCTTCACAAATGTCAAGGCAATGTGATGTAATCTCCGTCTCATGTTACTGACTGTTAGCTAGCGTACTAGCATGAGTACTGAAGGCCTAGTCTTGGTAAGTCCCCCTCCCAGGGTGTTAGGGTTAGTGTTGGTGTTTATTTCACACCCAAACACCACTGTACCATTGGTCTTTCTCGGGAATTCCGAATTAATAAGGAAATCTTGAGATATGTGTGAAATGAAGACACACACACACACACACACACACACACACACACACACACACATACACACACACACGCACACACACATATATATATATATATATATATATATATATATATATATATATATATATATATATATATAGAGAGAGAGAGAGAGAGAGAGAGAGATATGGGGGGGGGGGGGGGGAAAGATGACAGGACACAAAAACCGACGAGAGAAGAAGAGATAAGACTGCACACTAAAGAAACCATAAATAGGACACAGTGGGGAAATACTATGCGTGCCAATCCACACATTACAATTCGCTCATTATTCTTCGGGGAATCTCAGTGGCAAAGTGGTCAAGCCGTTTGCCTTGCGCTTTGAAGGTCCCGGGTTCGTTTTCCGAACACGTACTTTAGTTCACGAGTGCAATTTTTTTACGGAGATCCTTGAGGATCGTTGTTAGAGCTACAGAGTTCGTGCTATGTTAGGCTAGCCGTTCTGCGAGAGAGAGACCGAGTCGCACGGGAATAAAAACGGGTGCAAATAAGTCGACCCTTTCGACTTTAAGATTTAACTTTAATTAACTATTACATGATTTCAATATCTTCAAGCTTCCCCAATTGATTTGTTTATGTGCATAATAAGTGCAATGCACTGTTTGCATTGTAGCTTTAAGTTGAAATCCATATCATCTCGGCATCCTGCATATGTCCGGGCTTGAGGTTAGTTTGTAACCGTCGTGGGCCCAAATATAACCTTACAGTTGAACGGCGGGGAATACAAGGATTTGTATATGTAAAATTCGAATCCTCCAGATATTAATTCTGCGTACTGCAATCCTGGAGGGAATAAACTGTTTCCCTACATTGTCCTCTTAAGTCAGGAGTTTCATTATATTATGACTAACCAGCTCAGAAATTGAACCAGTCTCATAACATAGGTTGCAGAAAACGTTTAGGGAAGACAAGGTTTCAGCTAAGCGGCACTACATCTTAAGTAAACTCACGTTGCACGATTTATTTAAGCAGCTTGCCTAGTTTTTGAGGGTTGGGCTTTTGTGCGGACGACAACGGTTCGAGTTTAAGGTAAGACGGTTGCTATTTACCGTTTGAAAAAACATAAAAACCATTACCTGCATATCGTCAACAACAACATTTTCCATGATCTAGGACAAGGCCAAGCTGGCAAGACCTGGCTCATGTTGCATCCCCGGCATGTGTGTTATTTTTCTTTACCAACCAGCCTGGCTCCAAAGTCTGCGATGCTGCTTCATCTTCATTTTGACAACGGTATGAGCGTTGAGCTGTTCAGAAGCAACAACAACAAAACAACAAAAACTACAGTCACTTCTTTTATTTTCCCTTTATCGCTTCAGGGGACGAGGGAGATGTAAGATTCAGCTTCTTGCTCTGATGGTCGCATCCACGCATAGACATATGGTGCTGTTGCAGAGCTTCTCTGATGTTATCTTTCCATCTTATTCTTACTTTTGCTCTCCATCCTTCTCTTTCAGTGTATGCCTTGTACGCTATAGTGCCACCAGGTATTCTCTCTAAGTGGCCAAACCAATCTATTTTCTGTCTTTATATATAATGAGAAATGTCAAAAATGACCAGACTTGTGACAGTTATGATCCGCTCAAAATTGGTGGCAACCTCATTCCGGAACTCCGCTGCGCAGATGACACAGTCCTCCCTTCAAACAGCGTAAAGGGAATAGAAAATTTGATATTGGCTGTCAAAAGCACAGTAAAGATCAAAATCTGTTTTTGAATTTAAAGAAAACGAAAATGATGTCCTCAGATAAAACTTGCTGTCACCCAAAAATAACAATAAATGATGAAGAAATTGAAAATGTCACAAACTTTGAATATCTAGGCTCTATAATAAACAACAATGGAGACTGTTCAACAGAAATTAAAAAAAGGATGGTCATAGCAATGCAAAGATTGAACAGCCTTAAAAGTCTATGGTTAAGCACCAGCAAGGAGATACAAATTAGAATTTTGAGAGCATGCATCTTCCCTGTGGCTACATACGGATGTGATCGTCAACTATCTCTCAGTCCTTAAGAAAGAGAATAGGGGCTTTTGAACTGAAATGCTATAGAAAGATTCTCAGAATATCTTGGACAAAGAAGATGAGAAATATTGACATCTTAAAAGATCTGAACATCAAGGAAAATTGGCTAATAAACAGCATCTTTTCTCGAAACCTGAAATATTTTGGTCATATCAAGCGTCACGACGGATTGGAAAAAAAATTAAAGCAGAAGGCATGGTACCAGGAAGGAGGGGCAGGGGCCAACCGACACGAAGATGGGCACTTGTCCTGAGTGTAAAAGTGCATTAGGCGGGAGAACTGACGAGAGACCGAGTTTCTTTCAAGCAGACTGTGACAAGAGCGACGTTCTGTAAAGGACTTGATACACGATGATGATGATATGTAATTTAGAATATGTTCTGTATCGACTATTTCTCTTAGTACCTCGCTTCTTGTTTCATCTCTTTTGGTCACTCCTGTATCAATTCTTAGTCATCTCATTTCCGTGGTTACTAATTTTCTTTTATAATTGAAAACTATTGATCGTAAAATTGCCTACCAAAAATCACACAACAAAATTGCTGTGGACGATGTGCAAAATTACGCCAAGCATGTGTAGCTAACTTTCAGCCTTGATTCACAATGTTTCCTGGTTACTATTTTTTGTGAGTCGTGGGTTCGGGTTTTCACAGAACACAATTTTTTTTTTTTAAATGACCTTGGCTGTCAGGTCGACCCAGCCTTGAATGGTTACCTGAAATAATTCTTCTTCTTCGCGTTCATCGACTGTAAACTCCGGCGGAAAGTTCTGGTTCTTCGTCTACCTGTGGACTTTAGTTTTGTTCCAGAACTTATGTGTTGTATCCGTGTCCGTTTTACAGATCTTATTTGTTTGTATGCAGATTGTTGGTTCCTTGCCTCTCAGGCAGATGCACCCCGACATCTCACCTCTTCTATAACTCTAAATGCGCAATTGTTGCGACATGCTGGTGGTATACTGAGTCTCTCAAAAAAAAAAGTAGAATGCGTTCTATGTAAAAAATTTTCTGACCACCCTAGGTAAATTAGTGAGTGTGTGTGCAGCGCGTCTGCGAACGTGAGGTCGTATGTGAGTGTGTGTGTGTGTGTGAGTGTGTGTGTGTGTGGCTTCCTAACAGTTAACTTGTTTCATTCTCACATGTCCTTTCTTATTCCTTTAAAATAAAGCCAGTTTAAAGGGGTTCATTAGTCACGTATCATATCTGTCTTAGGCAATCCCATCCATACCCTTGCAAAATGTACACCCAGAATGACTGGATGGTATTTCAAATCAACCCGCAATGGAATCGTGACCCAGCAGATACATATATACTTCCATATAAGGCTATCTATCTATCTATCTATCGACATTTCAAGCCGCACACGTCTAACTTCACGATCCATTTTCGTCACACATAGACCACTTAAAGAAATTAAACTCGCAATTGTCTTGTTGAGTGTACACAATTTGTAGGCAAGTGACGATGTTTTTGAAGAGGGACATCACGAAGTGTGAGCCTCGACCTGACCTGGATGTTGTGATTCATTCTTTGTTTAGCGATACTCATGAGTATTAAGAGGCCTTCAATGCTGCTACTTGTCTGTGTCGCAAAAAATTATAACACACGGACTTTCAACCCTTGAAAATTTCCTGACATCCTTGATCAGAATCACGGTATAAATAAGGCGGTCTTTTTCAAACCTATATTAACTGCAAGTGAGAAGAGCTAGTTACAACGACTACCTAATTATAAAAATACAATTTTAAGGGTTGTAGTTGTGTTTCTAAAACACAAAAAAAAATTTGGGCCTTGGAAGACAAGCGAGAAGAGGGAAAGAGAAGTCAAAAGATTGCATTTTTTGCCAACATTTACCGATTTTGCTTTTCAAAAGAATTAATAATACTTTTAGAAACACATTTATCAAAGCTGAAAATGACGCCAATGGCTTTCAAAACGTTGAGGGTATTTTCCATTGTCTTAATGGTAAGTCCAAATCTCTACTTGCTCATTATTTACATCCTTATTTTTTAGCGTTTAACTATAAGAATTTAGTTGGAGCCATATTTTTCCGCTTTACTTTCTTATCCTTCTTCTTTTTCTCCTCTTCTCCCCTCCTCTTTTTGTGTGTGTGTGTTTTTTGTTGTTGTTGTTCGGAATCTGTTATGCCGAAATATGCAGATATTAAAGCCTAGATATAGACCACACTACATCATTTCAACCATTTTTTTAAAGGGCGAAAATGAATAAAAGGAGGAGTTAGAACAGTCTTAATACGAATATTGCAATGCGTGTCATTCATATTATGTGTCTCGACTAATAAATGCCAAAGCCTCAGTAATGTAATTTATCTACATTATGTATTTGCCATTGTAAGTAAATAGTATTATTATAATGTAAAAGATGCAGTGATGTGGCGTTGAATGACGCGAACACACTAGAAAAATAACAAGCGTAATGGAGCTACTAAGAAAAAAAAAAACAAACCATGAAGATAACTAATTATCTGCACTAGTTTAAAATATTTCACATTATATACGCCCGTGGTGCGAAGATGAAAACTTGGATATGTCGTTATAACAGGAAAGTTGGAGGTTAAGAGATGCACAGGGAGGTACCATGAGAGAATATGATAGACTGTTTGGCATCATGGCATGGACGACAATTTGTCTGAGAAATGAATGACCGTTCGTGCGACAGAAGGAAAAGGACAAACATGTTTAACTCTTTTAGTATTAGAAGTTTTGGCAGGAGATGCAAACGGGATAACTAGGAAGCAAAGGCAAGCATTCATTACTTTCAAAGTGGCAATATGCACAGTGAGTATGATTAGCGGGGAAGACAGATTTTTTCAGTATGTTCTTACTAAATTTTAAACAGAACACAATATGCTCTGCAGGGAAGCCAGGAACGGAGACCCTTACACAGCTGGTATTTCTTGTGACCGAAAAAGTTAACAACGTTACACCTCATAGACTGGAATTAATATTGTTATTATTATTAATAATATTATTATTAGTATTATTATTAGTATTATCTTCATATAATTAAACATCTGTCATCTACAAACAACAGCTGCATCTGTGCTACCAAAGTACAAGTGGAAGAACTATCGACGAAATGATCGCCAGTTCCTCAAATAAGATGACCAGTTTTGATATGATCGAGGACGAGCATGTGACAGTTTTGCGGCTTGAGCTGGATATGTTGATGACAGTTGATCAGTACCTGGCTCTTTATGTAAGCAGTTTGGTTGTTACTGTTGTTATTGTTCTTGGTATTGTTGTTGTTGTTATTGTAGCTGTTGTGTGTTTTTTATACTTTTAACTGAAGTAATATTTTTATTTCAACTTTCATGCTTTTATACTTCGACCAAATATTGGCTACATAGTCGAGGTTAATTGAACAACCATAATCTTCACCATATCTACTGCTGTCGGAAGCGATGTACTGGAAGAAGTGATGTTATCAATGCCAGGCGCAGCACTTACCACGAAGACGAGCACGCCAAAGCATGGCTTCTGAAACCCTGTCTAGGCTGATGGACATAGGGTCGCAACCTAGAGCTGCAAGAAATGAACATTTCACTAAGGGGACATGCTTTGGTTAGTTGCGTATACTTTACAAGACGTTGCAGAACCAACCCCAGCAGCCCCTGGCTGTTGTCTGGTTTCTCTAGGCAAATTTACGTCCAGTAGTTTGTTATTGCTTACTGAACGGTCGGCCCCTGATACCCCTGTCGAAACCAACGCAAGGCGCATGGCCCGCAGCTGGGATCTAAACCCGGCACCCCGGCATTACGAAGCGTTCGCATCGACTTAGCCACAGAGCCGACTAAGAGGACAAGACGTTTGATTAACTAACACAGAACTTGTCAGTCATTTTACACTTGTGGGGCTTTTGAGGAAGAGATGGGAGCAGCTATGGGTCTATCTGAAGTTCTGTGATGATCATCTTTACTATTCACTAATCACTTATGTCACTATCCCTTGTTAGTAGCTTTCCGATTTTTCCAGTCGATAGCTTAGACTGTGCTATAGAGAGGTATTGAAATCACAGCCATTGATAGTGTAAGTTGATTTGAGTTGAGTCAAAAATCGACATCACGACACTCGGGACATTTTCATGCATGCTCCGTCCTCATCTTCAGCAGCCAGCACAGAGTTCCAATACTGATGATATATGCCATAATCTGGTTAAATGTCCGTCTTGCCTTTCCTCTGAGTGTAGTGAGCCGGCCAAACCCTCTGGTTACACCCAGGTGCCTCATTCTCTCCATGCCCTAATTATCTTCTTTCTCTTCCCATTCTTCTACTGATGATGCAAGTATAATTAGCAAGAAGAATTTCCGCAGTTAGCGCATGGGATTTCTGGACAAGTTATGCGATCGCATCTATTTAAGTCTCTTCTTCTCAAACGACCATTTCGTAACCTATATACAGTAATTTTCTCCTTTATCCTGATTCTGTTCCTGATTTTCCTCTTCCATGTAACCAACAAATTCTGTAGCAACCCGTCCACACAGTCATCGTCCTTAACTGTCATAAAAATTATTATTTCTTTGAAGCCTGTATTTATCTCACTTTAGAGTGGTGTGATCTTAAGTCGTAGGATTTAGATCCATATAGCTAGTGCTGTAGCCACAGACTGTGCAAGTCAGCATTTTTTTGTTTTTTTTTTTGTTTGCCCCCAGACATTTAAGAAAAAAAAAAAAAAAACACGTTACTTTAATAAGAATTCGACTCCGTGTCCTTTGAAAAAGAGCCAAATGTTCTTAGCGTTTCTGAAGGTCTGAATACTCCGTTAAACTGCGACAGGCCTAGCTAACCAGGGGATTACATCTTGCTCGAACAAACAATAAGAACAGAGATCGTACTGATTCTTACAGAACAGCCACCAGAGAGTGAACCACAGAGAACCCTGTCACTTAGATCTAAAGCAAAACTAGAGGTCGACCACGCAAGTCATAGATAGATGGAAAATCCTAGGCCGCAAACATCAGCATCTACGTAGCACATACCGAGTCCTGCATCCAATGCCTCCTCAAAGCCTGACCCTGAAAGGCAAGGCAGGGCTGGAGAAGAAGAAGAGAAAGAAGATCACCAAAGACTCCGCTGCACCAGGTTTTAGCCGATGTGGCTCTGCCTATTTCAGCAAAACGGGACGATAAGGCCACACCCAGCTCTCACCAGCAGCAAGTATCAGTTCATGTGCTGGCATCCGTCAATGCTATGATACAAGGCTGTCAAGAATCTTCTCTGCGTTGTAATCCTCTTTTTTTTTCCACAAATCTTTCCGTTGGCTACAAAATGTTTCAGTTTCCATATTCTCAAAACCTTCCTCACCCCCCCCCCCCACACACACACATACAAATCATCTGTGTTTCTCATGTTGGCTGGAGCTCGATGCAATCATATTATAGTTAATAATATTTCCCATGTGGACACCCTAAAACCGCACACACAAAGACACACACACACCCACACACACACACAGAGAGAGAGAGACGCACACACACACACACACACACACACACACATATACACAATTGTATTCACACCTGCCTTTGTGTTCAACTTTCATAAGCAGACACCATCGTTCTAAAACTACTGAATGTATTTTGTACTTCTAGGGCAAGCCGAATCTCTTGAACTCAGCCAATTCCAAAACGCCTACACGAAATAAAAGGAAAGCTATCAAGAATCTGAACACCCGCTGGACCAATAAAAGAATCCCATACCGAATTGCGCCTTCCACATTCTCAAACACAGACAATGCAGAAATCATGCAAGCTATTGGCGAATGGGAGAAATATACCTGCATCAACTTTCAGCCAGCGACAATTTCTGATTCCAATTTCGTTAATTTCGAGGACGGATCAGGTTGCTCTTCTTATATTGGAATGATAAGAGGCAAACAATCCGTGTCTCTAGCAGGTGGTTGCAGGTTCAAGGGAATTATCGCTCATGAAATAGGGCATGCTGTTGGTTTCTTTCATGAACAGAATCGCCCAGACAGAGATGATTACGTCATTATCAAGAAGGAAAACATTCTGCATCCAGATGTTTATGACAATTTTAAGAAGTATGATTGGTCAGCTGTGTCTAGCTACGATGTCCCGTATGATTACAAGAGCATTATGCACTACGGAGGAACAGCGTTTAGCGGGAACGGTAAAAACACTATTGTAACCATAGATCCAGCATACCAAAATGTAATTGGTAACCGCGAAGGATTGAGTTTCAACGATATCAAACTTGCTAACCTTATGTACAACTGTAACGAGACATGCAGCTCGTCAATCAGGTGTCCGAAAGAAGGATTCCTTGGAAAAGACTGCCAGTGTTGGTGTGCTGGTGACCCAGTGAGAATATGTGACTCAAGCAGTGTGAAGCCAACAGCGAGACCCACAATTAGACCCACGGCCAGACCCACAGCCAGACCCACATTGAGACCTACAGTTCGCCCGACCACAGAAATAATCAATTGTAAGGATAGGAATCCCAATTGCCCATCGTGGCAGAAATCAGGTTTCTGTCTGAGCAGCAATTATGTGAAAACCTTCTGCCAGGCATCTTGTAGAATGTGTGAAGGAGACCGTCAAACACCATCTCAGTGCAAGGACTTTAGAAATTACTGTCCTGCCTGGGGTAAACGGGGATATTGCTCTGGCACCATGGCCACATTCATGCGTAGTTATTGCCCTGCCACATGCGGGGCGTGCAACAAACGAACATTAGTTCCTGAAATGGCAATTGGCACTAAGGTTGGTTCGACTGTAGATACTGGGGTAGATGGCAACTCTGGAAGTGTAAACAATGGTGGCTTTGCCTCTTCATCCTTAAGTTTTTTCGCAACATTACTTTGTATGCTGATATCTTTTGTTGATATGTTATAAGTGTTTCAAAGCATTTTCTGATGATTTAATTTATTTGTTGTATTTGATTTGACGTTCATCTCCTGTGTAGTTTTTAAAATAGTCTTTATATATATCTCTAAGTGTTCGTAGTAATGTATTGTGGCCTAATTTGTGTTTCTTACATCTCTTAGATTCAGTCAGAGTCTCCTTAAAATGTTTTTATGTGGTAATTTATAGTTTCCATGAAGAACAGCCTCTGTTTTGATATACCCATATCTCCATCGACTTTAAGAGAAACCACATTACTATTTGCCTGGTGTGACAGCATTGATAGGAAATCTCTCTGGAAATTGATGGGACACTATGGAATCCTACATAAAAGTATTAACTTAGTAAATCAGCATATAAAGACATAAAAAATCGAGTTGTTCATGAGGGAAGCTAACATACATTTGAAATAAAAACACGTGTGCGACAGAAATGTCTTTTGTCGCCTTTCCTGTCTTTACTGGCTATAGGCTGGATTATGAAGACATTAACTGCTAACACTAAGAACGGAAATCAGTGGACCCCTACAAAACAGCTTGATGATTTGGACTTCGCTGATAATATTTCTTTTCTGTCCCATTCACGGAATCAAAATGCAAGATAAATTAGGTATACTTGATACGAGATCACAGCAGTTAGGTCAGAAAATCCATATACTTGGTTCGACTTTTAAATTGTTAATTCATTGTCCACAGTGGAAGGTGAACGATATTTGGGAGCTCAACTCACGGACATGTAAAATAAGTCTATCACTTTTCCTTGGCATATAGACAAGAGTATGTTCTGTGTTAACTTGTACATATTATTGTCGAATGTTTTGTGTAATTTATCCAACTGAACATGTGATAAACTGGTGAAGACATATTTATTGTATTTTTGTAACTGTAAATTATTTTTTTTAATGTCTTTTACATGTTGGGAATAATTGTAAAAGTAAAAGGTAAAGGAGACATTTAGACGCCTTAAAGCGTATTAGGTATATAGAACTTGGTCCATAATGAATAGACTAATAGATACTCAATGGGTTATGTGTTCAACATCACGCCGGCTGCCTTTACCTTCCAGGACTGTACCCGGTACTAATTCAAGGCAGGATGGGCCAGGAAAAAAAGTCCACCTACATTAGGTCCCTAACCTCCGACCTTCCGATAGGCTGGCAAGTGTTTAACCGCTACACAACGGCGGCCCCGGTTGTGAATAAGACACTGTACATATAAATTATAAATTTGATATTACGACGCAGAACAGATCACGCTAGAGTGCTTACAGTTAACCCTCCCCCCCCCCCACCCTCCCCTTTTCCCCTTCTAAGATTGCAGTGTCCACAATTGCCACCTCAAGAACGAGCAGCAAACAGGTACTTATCCCAAAACACCTGGTCAACCGTGTAACAATTATACTGGGTCCCCTAGATTTAAACGGTAACATGAGTTCCAGACTGTGCAGAGAGTAGCTGAGTAATAAAATAATGCCCTTTCAATCTTTCTCTGTTAGGATGTGTGATCTGAAATGAAATTTTAAACTACATGTGATTCTGACGCACACGTTGCACACGCGGAGTTTGCAGTCTGCTGATTTTTACATTGAATAATCTAAGAGGGAACTGTGTCACTTTATGGATACATTTATGTGCAATAAAAGTTATAAAAAGTCGCCAGAGCTATGGAGTTTGTGCTTTGTGTGACGCTTCTAGCAGACAGCTCAGTGTTCTGCTGAGAGGCAGGGAGATATGGGATCAAACCCGTTGCAGTGAAAGCGACTCTCTAACTACAACTTTGACTAAAAGAAATTAGCTCACACTAAACTTAAAATTGTGGCTATCCTCCGACTAACGGTCGGTAAAGATGGCGGCCGCATAATATCTTCTCGAGCCACAGTCGCGTGACTTAATTTGCGGTTCTCCGGCGACTATCGCCACTCCGCGTGGAATGGGGCTAAACTAGATGGCTAGGACCCACGAGCAGCAGCCGCCATGTGCTCGTGACCGCTAGTGCGCAATTGATACGCGACTGTGGCTCGAAAGGATATTTTGCGCGCCGCCATCTTTGCCGACCGTAAGTCGGAGGATAGCCAAAATTTGTAATTCTAATGTCAAATCAGTACTGTTGTATGAAGCGGAACTTGGGCAACAACTAAGGCAATTACTAATAAATTACAAACATTTATTAACTGGTGTCTGCACTGAAAAGAGGGATTAACAGAATCACTGATGTTCAGCTCTGGAGGAGAAACAAGCTCCAGTGGACCAAGATGTGAAGAAAACACACTGGTTTCGGATGAAACACATTTTGAGAGAACCTAAGAACAATTTTACTAGAATGTCTTTGCACTGGAACCCACAGGCAGATATAAAGGCAGACCAAAAACACACAGAAAAGAGATCTAGAGAATGAAGCTAAAAAAAGTGGGAAGCACATGGGGTGATATGCATGTAATAGGGAAGGGCAAAACTACTTGGCCTGAGCTGGTTGAGGGCCTATGATCGATTTGAGGATAGAAACAAAGGGGAAAAAATCATACTAGATGCGAATTCGAGCCCGTAAGCCCTCGTTCAACAGGCAAACTCACTAGCCACACTACTACCATTGCTCACATGTCTCTCATTAACCTTATGTAACTGCATATTAGAATCTCACAATTGAGTCGATTTAAGTCATATAATAATTTGTGTGGGTCTCATTCTTGTTTATTATGCTCAATGAATGGTTTTGAATTTTGTTTCTTGAATACTATCTTGTTACCAATGCATTTGCACATGTTTTATTTAACAGTTCATGAAATAAATGTCGTTAATGAACATTACTGTCTATTTTATGAGCACAAACACAAAGCTGTCGTGATCAATAACCTATATCTATTTCTTCTTCTTTTTCTTCTTCTTCTTCTTCTTCTTCTTCTTCTTCTTCTTCTTCTTCTTCTTTCTTCTTCTTCTTCTTCTTCTTCTTCTTCTTCTTCTTCTTCTTCTTCTTCTTCTTCGTCTTCTTCTTCTTCTTCTTCTTCTCCTTCTTCTTCTTTTTCTTCTCCTTCTTCTTCTTCTTCTTCTTCTTCTTCTTCTTCTTCTTCTTCTTCTTCTTCTTCTTCTTCTTCTTCTTCTTCTTCTTCTTCTTCTTCTTCTTCTTCTTCTTCTTCTTCTTCTTCTTCTTCTTCTTCTTCTTCTTTTTCTTATTCTTCTTCACAACCTCTTTTACCGCTTCCGGTGTCGAGGGAGATATAAGGTCCTGCTTCCTGCTCTTCAGGCTGCTTCGACCATAGACACACTGTAGTGCTGCAGAAATTGATAGTTTCTCTCATGTTATCTTCCTATTTCGTTCTTGGTCTACCTCTTCCTCTACGTTCTTCTCCTCTTTTCGTATATGCCTTGTATGGTATAGCATCCTCGTTATCATCAAATGCCATGCTGACTGGCAACAGCGATCTTCAACAGTATCTATAAATTGGTGTGTTGACACTTTTCCATGTCATGATGAAAAGTTTTTAAGAATAGTCCTGCGTTGATTTCCTTTGTCTTTCCACAGATCTTTACAGTAGTCACAGCATCCTCTAGTTTTTCTTCTTCTCATAACATGACAAAAAAAAAAAAAAAAAAAAGTGACGACTGCCTCTTTTTGATGTAGGTGATAAGTTGTTGTCGAACCCTCTCCACTCTTAAAACAGATAGTTGCCTCAAGAATTTATGTGGCTTGTTTATTATTCGTCTGGGATTCACAGCCAGTCTGAATCATCCCAGTGACAAAACTAGCAAAAAGCCAAGATACACCTGTGACAATTAGCAAGTATACAATATAGGATGAAGGAACGAGCGAACCAACAAACTTTTTTTCAAAGGGCTACAAATTCAGGTCCGTCTGACATTCGACCCTTCTAGGCACTAATTTTTTAGAGTACCAATGCCTGTTATCAATAATGCATGTTATGTTTATAATTTAAAAAAAAAAATACTTTAGAAAATAATGCATACACACATCATGTATACACACACTGTCATACACACTCAATCTCTCTCACACACACACACTCCCACACACAACACATACTTTTACATTTTCATACATACACACACACATTCATATACAGACACGAGTATTATCTCAGCAGTAAGGAAGCAAGGACTGATTAGAAAAATAAAGCTTAACTCAAATTTTCCTAAATCCAGCGGCACTAGAGATTCACCGTGGCAGTACGGCTAGACGCTCGCCTCCGGATAGGAAGGTCGTGAGGTCGCTTCCTGGCGGAGTCGGATTTAAAAAAAAATGACCTTGACTCCCAGGTCGACCCAGCCTTGAGTGGGTACCGCGTGGAAAGTAAAGGCAGTCGGTGTGATTCTGACCACATCACCCATCGTGTACCGATTGGTCTATTAAAATATAGTTCTAGCCCTATATGCCCTATATGCCTAAATGCGTCGAAAAGGGACCTTTACTTTGTTCCCAATATTTTTAGGCAGCACTCGATGGGTGTTGTCGTCAAAAGTACGGGGTTTCCATCGCTTAACAGGATCGTGCCTGGTAGCCATTAAACACTGTGTCGACATGGATTCAGACTTAAAACTCTTCCTTTGTGGGTTCAGAGGCGCCGCCTGGGAGAAATAGAAAAGCCAATTACACACTAACAAGCATGTCGTGACAAGTTGACTAATTAGGAATATTTCCTTTGTTGCTGGAGTGCATCTTCCAGAGAGTCAAGGAGCCAAAACGCTACATGCAGACAAGCTAGATCTGTAAAAATGATTTGCATGCGAAGCTTAAGTTTTGAATAGGACCAAAGTCAAGAGGTAGACAAACAACCAGAACTTTTCCCAAAAGTTTTCCGTCCATTAAAGCTGAGAAAATGAAACAACTGCAGACCTTTGAGCTGGTAGGTGAGCGTTTGTTATCAACCGGCACCAAGCCAGTACTGATACTGCGTGTAATGTGTCGTATCTTGTAAAGACACTAAAACATTTTTCTGCCTTTCCCTTTTTTGTTGACCACATTTTGCGTCTTCCCAATCTC